TCTCTGTCTCTGTCTCTGTCTCTGTATCTGTCTCTGTCTCTCTGTCTCTGTGTCTGTCTGTCGGTCGGTCTGTTTGTATGTCTATCTGTATGTCTGTATGTATGCATGTATGCATGCATATACATGTGCGCATGTGTGTATGTAGGTATGCATGTATGTGTTTATGTATGTACTTATGTATGTATGTGTGCATGGATGCATGCATGCGTGTGTGTATGTATGTACGCGTGTATGTGTGTATGTGTGTATATGTGTATATGTATATATGTAAGTATGTACATATGTATTATTTGTGTATATATGCATAGATGTATAGATGTGTATATGTCTGTATGTGTGTATGTATGTATGCATGTATGCATGTACGTATGTATGCATGTATGTATGCATATGTATGTATGTATGTATGTATGTTTGTTTGTATGTATGTATGTATGTATGTATGTATGTATGTATGTATGTATGTATGTATGTAGTTTTATATATATATATATATATGTCTATGTCTATCTATATGTTACACATGTAGATACCATACACATGTAACTATATCTATGTATATTCATACATATATATATATATATGTATATATATATATACACATATTTATTTGTTATTCGTACTTATACTACATATACGCATACATACGTGTACAGATATTTATGTAATTATTGGGCCCGCCGGTCTTGGCAGCAAGCCTGGTCTTAAATGTCCAGCTTACTCAGCCCCGCGAAAGTCTATTTGCTCATGGACGGAAGGCTGTGTAGGACGTAGGACGTAGGCAATCCTGACCGAACGGTTGGAGCCCGGAATGCTGCCCGACACAATACTCACAGATCTTGGACTTGGTACGGGTACCATACCTGATAGAACACTACCTACCGAGATTATCTATAACAAAACAGTAGTATGACAGCAGTACTAGTAACTAGTATTTGATCACCACAAATGACAAGCCCGGGAGAGCCTCCATACTGGAACCAAGACGCCTTAAATACAAACATATATATATATATATATATATTTATTTATTTATTTATATATATTAGTTGTATGTATATGTTTAGAGACACAGAGAGAGATATATATATATATATATACACACATACATATAAATATCAGGGGGTTCAAGGTTGAGAGTTTACGGTGTAGTTGAGTCACTTGCGGTTTCGCGGACCCTTTGTCACGGCTACGGCTACATCCCAGAAACTCGACCCCAGCTGCCTGCCTCACGCTTCTGCACCAAAGTCTGGTTGCCCGCCAGAGCCTTCAATCCGGCACAAAAACCCCAGGAAGGCGGGATTTAGGGTTGAGGATCAGGGCTTGGGGCTCCAGTGGTTCACGGTTCAGGGTCGAGGGAAGGTCGCCGGGCCGAGTTCGAAAACACGAGGGAGCGTCTACGGTTCCGGGTGGAGGACCGGCTGTAGGGAATGCTGATGTAATCTTCAACAGCTGCATGCCTAACCCACTATCGCCCCGCTAACCGTCCCTGCAACTGGCAATTCTATACAGTCTCCAGATCTCCAGCCGAATAAAAGCAAGCCGTAGTCAAAGAAGTAATTGGTAAAGGCCCCTACATGTGTGTATAAATCAATCACCAAATTAAAGGCACATCTCTCTCTCTCTCTCTCTTGCGCTCTCCCTCTCTCTCTCTCTCTCCCTCTGTTTGCGTGTGTATGCATATATATATATATATATCTTTATATACGCATGTACCTGTTGCACATACGAAAGCAGGTATGTGTACCGGAAAGAGCATTCTTTTTACCCCGTGATTGTAAGGGCCCTGACGACAAGATTTGATTAGTATACAAAAGCAGAACTGAACTCGCATAATCCGAACCCCCTGAGCCCTGTCGAACCTTATCACAACCTATACAAACCTTATATGGAACCTTTGAGTATCAAAGCTCCACCTGCTTGTGTGTCGATTCCATGCGCCCATGTAGCGCACGCATTGCCTCTGAGATTCGAGTCTGTTGGGGTGCGGGTGATTTGCCTGCTCCCAGGAGTAGGGTCCGATTTTTGGGACGCCTGCACATCGTACCCAGGGCTGCCGGTCGGGTTTAGGTCTGAATTCGGGGACCACACTGGCAAACGATCATTGTGCTCAAAAACTCTCGTCTCATTAATTGACCCCTGCACCTAAACATCCCCAAACCCCAGTGGCTCAAGCTTTTTCACTCATGCTCATCCGTTTTGTTTAGGGGTCTGAGGTATGTTCGGAACTCGTTTCAGGGTCTAAAGACGCAGGCCTGAGGCCCAAAACCACCTGTAGTGACGGAGTGACCTCCACACCCACACCGAAATCTTCGTGCGGAATTGATGTTGCTGTCTTTACGAAGTTACTGGTACTAGTACTATAGTCTTAAACTACAGCTAGTCGTCCGATGTCTCCTGACGTGACAGTAGTTTTCTCATCCTAACAGCTTGAATGAAACAACTGGTCCCGCGGCTGGCCTCTCCTCTCCGAAATCTCCGAGTGGGGTACAGGCCTTTAGATATGAAGGGCGCCTAAGTCCAAGTTTGCCGAAATGACAATTACATCTCAAATCACTGAAGCCACAACCCCAAACCCTGAAAGCAGAACCCTGGCAGAACCACCTGCTCAATCTGCTGCAGGTTTCCGCGGCCGACTCGGTGCATAGAGTCCTGCGTGCGTTGATGGTTTATAGTTCAGGGTTTCAGGTTTTTGCTTCTAGGGTAAAGTTCAGATTGCTGTAGGCGCCTTACTGAAATGGAATGCTCTTGGGGAATTTAGCTGCACTTCAAGGGGATGACTCTTAATAATTGGCGGGCACAAGCACTTGTGATTGATGTGACTACGAAGAAACATCAACATTGCTGTCCTTGACACAGTACCCATGGTTGTACAAAACCCCACCACAATTATTGCGAGAGTCTTCTTTTGGAGCGCCTACTTTCGCCGCTGATAAATTGCTTTGTTGGTTCAGGGTATGGATTGGGTTTCTGGCTTCTTTTTTTCGGCATAAGAATGCTAAGGTTTGTTGCTGATTCTGGCTTTAATAATTCAGCAGCAGGTTTTTATTGGATTACAGCTCTGTGCGTGAGTGAGTCAAAGAGTGAGCGAGAGCCTGGGTGAGTGAGGAACTGAGTGAGTGAGTGAGTGAGTGAGTTTCTGCGTGTGTGTGTGTGTGTGTGCTTGTGTGTGTGTGTTACTTAGAGTACTCGTTCGAATGTTACTCGATCAGTTTACTGTGTAGTATGGCCTACTATTCATAGGGTCAGCTTTGAGCGCGGCTATGTGGATTACAAACTCGCGCCTGAGAGCTTGTTTCTGGAAGCAATGGGATGACATGTTGAACCAGATAAGGATTTGGGATTCAAGCCGCAAACGCTGGAATCAGTAGGAATCTGTCTTACCGGAGGTCGAAATTCAACTTACACTGAACCTAGAGGTGCAACACGCGTATTGGGCCTCATGTTTAAACCAGCTACTTGTAACTCAGCCGTCGTATTTTAAATTTTGGGGATTCACCAGCAAACCAGGCCTTCGAGGTTTAGGCGTTCGGATCCATGGAGCTTATAGAGTTGCCGCGCTGCGCGGACCCGACCGCATGGATTAGGAGAGGCGGCCAAACCGCCCCGTGAATCCTACATCAACCAAATCGAAATTCCAAGGGGCTTCGGGTGTAAGATTAATCTCCACATCTCTGAACCCCAAGGGGTGAACAACAGTCCGCGGTCCTGGTGCCACTTATCGAAATGGTCGATAGCCGAACGTGCTGATCGATGCAGATCCACGTCCTGGAGATTCAGGGCTTGTGTGGGCTCAAGCACGGAAGCCCCAAGCTCATTCAATGCAAACCCCTGAGCTTTAACCCCGAGCACCGGAGCCCGAAGCCCCTGAAGCACAAAGCCCGCCGAGGGTCCAGAAGATTACTTTCCGTGAGGGCGTCGGCAAACTCGTCAAAGGCATCGCTGAATCGACGCTGTGTGGACTGCCTTGAGTTCTTTTGGGTGTAGGTAGGGCTTTGTGAGGCTGTAAAATATGAGGGAAAAGCGGTTCAGGAATCAGTCCTAAACCTTATAATGCTGGGATGGGCATCTTCGCTGAGCTGGAGCGACAAGATTCAACCTCAAAGTCCGAAGGCATGACCCTGTGTCCGAATGTCACGAGGTGGAGTGCCTTATTCTTATTCTCAGAAGCAACAACACTGAAATAATCATATGCTCCTCTACAGTTTGACAAGGCCCTACTCGACTTTCAATTTTCCCAAGATTGTTGGGCCAACATAGTTTTTGGCCCTCATGCATGCAAAATCGCTTCACAGCAGTGGAAAGCAGTTGGTTGTTGTTGTCGCGAAGTTCATGGCCCATTGGTGCAGACCCTGAGCCGCAACCACCACAATGTTGCACCCTTACGCCTTAGGAGGCAAGATCCTAAACCCATGCACGGAGACACGACGTGAGTGTGGTTGAGGGGCTTTGGGTTTGCAGTTTTTGTTTTTTTAATGGGGTGGGGGGGGGTTTCTACACTATATATGTTTGAGGATTCGGTTTAAGCTGTTTACATTTTGCATGCTAAGGTTGGAGGTTCCGCGGATGTGGGCTCTTGAACGGTATACACGCCAGAATTTGGGCAAGGGTGCTCCAGATTGTCGATGGCATCCGATGTGGCGGCTATGTTCGTGTTTACACCATCAATCTTTTCTGCAAGAACCTGGCACAGAGCACGGGGGCTTGAAGCGTCTCGGCGAGCTTTGAGGGGTCTTCAAGATAGGGTTTAGGGTGGGGTTCAGTCAATCTAAAACGCAAAGCCATTGAGGCCTTCATCGTCTTCTTCCTCTTCATCTTCGACTTCTGGTTCATCATACTAGTGCAGAAAACACCAAGTCGCTGTGATAAAAAACAAGGGCCATCAGAGCAATGACAACAGCAAGGGGCCGTAGCCACAAGCCACACACAAAAAGCATCATGAACATGTTGCACGGAAAACAAACAACAATACGAAGTAGTAGCAACATGTTGTTCGTCCAGACCGAAAGTGCGTGGCCCGGAAAGAGTCTTGCAAATCTATAAACAAAAGTCCTGGCCTTGTGCTCTTCGTGGGTCAAGTCAAAGATCCTAAGCACTTTCAGGAGGCGTGCTCCGAGTCTTTCAGGTTCTACGGTTCAGGAATGAGTCTGAGGTGGGTGACGGATTGGGGATTACCCGGGCAATGTCTGCTAGATACACCACGAGGTGCTCTGCATCTATCGCCGGTAGGAGGGAGACCAATGCGATGTCCGAGCCTTGCCCCTGTCTGTGCAGAACGGCTTTGACGCCGAGAGGACTGCTCCTTTTAATACAGAGCCTGGGCATGAGCCTTGAAGGCCGCCATGAGCTGCACACTTCGGCTTGGGTTCGGGATCAAGGAACTTGGCAACCTGAGAAAAAGCATCACCTCTAACTAGACTCAGTAACTAGAGTCACTAGACGCTTCGATGTGGGCTTCGATGTGGGCATCGGAAAGAGTAGGTGTATAGGGAATGTATGCAGCGACACCCCACCAACAGAACGCTTCTAAGTCTTAGTTGATATGATGACAATGCCAGAGCCCAGCCTGTAACAAAGTCACACACACAGCCACATACCATATTCGCCTTCGAGTCACACACTCTTAGTTCCTCTAGATGGGAACGGGCAGTGAACACTCTGCAACGTGTGTCTTTACATTGTTGTTGGTAGGGTATTGGTCCCCATTCTTTCGAGCGACCTTTCTCCTCGAGGGAATGCGAATTCGGGGACTGAAATCTTAACCACTGAAGTTATTGAAATCAGCATCTCCAGGATCCACACACTACAGCCTAAAACTTCGCCCCCCGAACCCCAGTAGAATCCTGAAGCGTATATAAGGTCGTGTACCACCTGACGACTCCATCCAACCCTCGGAACCGACCAAACTGCCGCGCAGAGTCTGCTTGGCAGCCGTCCCAAGGTTCTTGTTCATCGCGGTGTGTTGCTTATTCATGGCACTGATGATCTGCTTTCCTTACTTCAAGCTTTGACTGCATTGGGGCTCTGTAGGACGGGCTGCCAAACAGGGCAGGATTCCCGGAGCATGGCGAGTTTTTCGTAGCGACAGAGATATTGATGTTGGGAATCTGTGACATCAAGTCTTGAAAGCTCCTAACCAGCCTGCAAAGTGCTGCATGGCTCGCTAGTTTTATCACCTGTTTCTTTTTGGCTAGGAGTTAGGACCCCACATGCAGCTGACAGCCTATCTAGCATCAGCCAACGCTTTTCAGGTGCCGAACAAGCCCCGAAGCTCCGAGCGTCCAAATCATCTTCCGCGATCGGAAGCTCGTAATGTCTCAGATCCCATAGCTCGGCCGCTCCCAGAAAGCAAGTGGGTTACTTAAGGTAAGGATTCACAAACAGCGTAGACCCAGATGCCTGAAACCTTAATCTGAACCGTTATGTCTGAATCTGCGCGGCTATCATGGTGAACCTAGTCCTGCACATCGAGGCTAGCTTCCGTACTCCAAACCCGAATCCTAAACCCTGCTAACCGAAACGAAGGTGCTTTGAACTTCTCGCGAATGAGGTTTCGGGCGTTACACTATCTGCCACCTATGAATTTTGCCACTTGGCAATCCATGGACGATGCCCCAAGCGGCCGTTGGAGTTCACTGCACCGATCTCTGCCTTCGCATAGGTGTCCAGCGCCTGTTTGTTTTTTGGGTCCATCGGCCTTTCGGGCTTTACCATGCAGTACCGAAGTTGTACTGTACTACCTGGCGAAGTGACATGAAAAAGGGCCCCGCCCAACCATGATCGCAGCCCTGCGTGCTGCCAGTGAGTTCCAGCTCTCCACGGTTTTCTTTGGGGGAGAAGGGGGGTTCTTGCCACCAGGTCCTGTAGAGGCCGGAAGAATACTTGGACTGTTTTCGCAGGGTTTTGCTACAAATGCACTGGGAAACAGTTTGCACAATAGTACTAGATATCCAGGCTCCTACAGCGCAGAGAAAAACAAGCGGCTAATAAGGGTGTATTTCAAGGCTTGAGCAGCTTTTGATGGGGTGTCGGGTCTTTGGCCGTGATTGTAGACTGTAGATGCTGAGTACAAGCCGGGGCTGTACCATAACACAGGAGCTTCACCAATACTTCGTACCACTTCTGCTTCATCGGCGATAGTGGGATGTCAAAAACTACTGTAGTTGCTGGTTTTCGGACCTCCATAGGATAAGTTCACCACCTAGGAACTTTATATGAACCGAAAACAGCAAACAACGAGCCCATGCAATAGTCGGGGTTCTAGCGGGTGTTCTGAGCATACTCCGCATTCTGTCCTCTGAACGCTCAGCTGTGACATTGAGCTTGACACAAGCCCTGGCTAAAGCCCAAACCCCGGGCCCTACAAGTTACGCTGCAGACTCTAGAATGCACCGCAAGCCCAAGCCCGTGAATGATCCTGAACCCCAAGCCCGGAACAGTTGAAGGATCTCAGAGTCTCAGCATGGGAAGCTTCAACAAAACACGGAAGCTAAACGCCCCAGCTCGAGGATCCTTGTAGAAACGACAGCAGTAAGGGATCCTCTGCAGGATAAAGCTCCACAGTAGTTTGCCTAGGGATCTTCAGGTCTTTCACGCTCCCCTGGCCGGTAAAGAACACGGAATCCAAAAGAGGTGGTTTGTTGTTCTTTCTTTTTGCTGATGGACCTTTCTGCTACAGTCGGATTACCTACTGCGTAGAATCCTTGACTCTCTCTTGGGCTCATGGAAACCCTGAACCCTTTTGGGGTCCCTTTCAACCCCCCATCCCCCCCACAAGGACTCGCGCCTGTTTCAGCTGGCTCGACTCATGAGAGGACTTATCCTCTATGTGGGTGAGGCGGGTGAAGATCTCAGAGACATAGTGGTCGAAGAACCCTTTCCTTGAGGAGGTCTAATATTCGAGGCCCTTTAAGGGTAACAGTTTCAGTAAAGGTTACTATAGGGGCTGAGACGGGGGTTACTGTTTTTGTTTCTGCCTGCCTAGCCGATCACAAACTCAGATAAGGGTGGCAGACCGGCAGAGAACTCAGCAAATGTGAGCTTGCTCAGCGTGATGTTGCTGTAGGCCCGGGGGTGTCTGGGGCTCACAAAACCTAAAACCCAAAGCGTAGACCCGAAGTCCAAACATATAATGAAGCCCGAAGCTGAAATGGCACCCAAAACCCCCAGACCTCAAGGATCCAGGATCTATGGCTCAGAACATGGGATTTGACACAAGAGACGGCCGCAGAGCCAAAGTGATTCCGTTCAATTGTCAGTTGAAGTTCCTTTGTAATCATTGCAATGTTGAAACGTGTGGAAACGCGACGCATTCTTGTACTGTACATAACCCATAGTTAACCCATGTATGATATTGTATGTATGACACACACACACACACTGTATCTCTCTCTCTCTCTCTGTCTCTCTCTATGCATATACACAGAAAGATTTATTGCATTTTTCTTTTTATCTGCCTATCTATCTTATTGTGTACGCATGTTCTCTCGATGCGCAGCGTTCGAGGACCCCGGACTGGCAAACCTGAAGCACAAATCCCTGAACCTAAACTGTTCAGGTCTTTCCAAGCCCTGGCGGAAGCTGAGAAAAGGTCCCGGACCATCCTAGACGTCAAAACTTCTTCCGAAACCGCAAGACCTCAGCATGACCACAAACCCGAATCCATGTCCTCATGAAGGTATCCCTACGACCAGAGACCTGTTTGTGTTGCGTCCAGCGTCATCTCCGAGAGAATGTTGCGATTCAGCGTCCCGATGGATGAGAGGATCTGTGCATCACCTCTCTTCACAGCGTCCTGAAGCATGGTGTCCCAAACCGATCGAATACCGTGACTCTTACAAACTCGTCAAGCTCAAACGTCAACCCGGCGAATCATTTCCTAAAAAAGGACGCCTGCACACCAGCCCTTCGACCAACACCCATTGCAAATTTGAAAGCTTTGCAGCTCCAAACCCCGAGACCTCAAAGCCCGAAAGCGCGAACAGGGGCCCTGAATAAATTCGACGAGGGATTCCGCAGTCTTCATACCCCATGTTTATGAGCGACTCCCAGGAACTAGTGTTACGATTAGCTCAGGAAGTAGCCCGCAGACACTACAAAGGTTCAACACTGCTGTCCAAGATTTTGAATCGGCGTGGGCTGAGCCTTGAGGTGCAGCCGAAGGATTCCCCGCTGAGGCGTTGGTTAGTGGTTAGATGTGGTTAGGGAATTAGGCCCTGGTTCTGGGACTTTGCTCGTCGTGGCTTGCTGGGTCCTTAGATAGCCTCTAGCGACGCAATGAAACCCCAAACCCGAAACATCGTAAACCCTGAAGCCCAAAGGCACTATATCCTGAACCCCTGAAGGTCATGAGCTGTTCCAAACCCTCCAAACTCAGTGCCTCCACACAGCTGAGATCACAATAGACTTTGGCCATGGTATTCTGAAGCGGGTTGCAGTCTGCATAATCACCTTTCGCTTTCAATATGGGGGGACCGTATTGCTTAGTATACATTCTCATGGACAGTACGGATACAACTATGACAACTGTGGTTATTGCTACTGTTATGTCCGTACATACAAGTACGGTTTCCAAGATGTGTACATGCTTGTAGCTAGATGTAAATCCCAAATATTTTTTCTCTGTGTTCACGGAATCGTAGGTTTTTCTGTCTGCGCAAATGGTGACCATAATGCGGTCCAGGTTGAAGGTGAAGAGTCAAAACCACAGCTCGAGATCTCCCTCGACAGGTACATCATTCTGAACTGCGAATGACCCTAACAACCGACATGTATTGGTTTGAACTTGGGTCTCTGCAGGTTCGGGCTATGGCTCCAGATCTAATTCGGGCGTTTGGGGTTTTGGTCAGGGTGTTGGTTTCAGGGCCATAGCCCACATACCACCCCCGCCCCCCAACCTCAAATCAGACAGCGCCTCAAGATCAGATCTTCGAGACACGTAAAGTATAAGCCGCCAGGAAGCTGCAACTTCATAATCATCGTAATCTTAAAAACATAAAGTCGGGCAAATTTTCTTCACCCCCGATCTGTTGTTTTTGTGAACCCCCTTTTTTCTAAGCCCCGAGTCTCTTCTTCGGACCCCTACACCTGCTTTTCTGACCCCTGAGCGTGTTTCTTCGACCTTACCCTGATCTCGACCCTCTTTCCTGACCATCTTCCTTTTTCGTCTGGCCTTCCAGCATCCTTCCATACCGCTTGACCGTTGGCGGGATGTCGTTGATTTTTGACCGATGCCGCCTATTTGTTTTGATCTTTTCCTGATCTCGACTCGACTCTCTTTCCTGACTCCTGACCCCCTTCCTGTTTGTCTCCTTCCACACCGATTGGCCGTTGGCGGGATGTCGCCCTATTCATGAAGAGCTGGGCCTGAGGCTCGGATCCGTTTCTAGCTTGCTTACTTCTGAGTTCCCCCTGAGCCTCGCATTAGATGTCCTGTTATCTGTCTTCTTTATCTTGGTGTCGCCCTGCTATGATGAACTTCCACTGAAACTGACATTGGATACCTTGGCATCTCTAGCTTCATTTCATTCCTAACTCCTTTTACCTTGTTAATGATGCATGTTCGAACCCTACATCTCTTTCTAGCTTACTTACTTAGAAGCTACCCCTGAAGCTCAAACTAGCTTTCCTGTTCGCTGTCTTCCTGCTTTTCCGCTGGCCATGTAGCATCCTTCCTGGTATCGCCTTACCACTGATGAACTTCCCCTGCACCTGCAATGGGATTTCCCCCCATCTGTAGCTTCTTTTCCTACCCACCCCGTTGCCGTGTGAATGATGAAGAAATTTCGCCTGGCGTTTGTGGCATTCATCCATACCCTTGACGGTTGTCGTGGTGTCGCCTCGTTCATACCCTGAAGCTGTTCTCTCTCGTTGGCAAAGATTTGTAGTGATGAACACGTGATGAAATACCCGGGAGCCGCAGAGTAACCAACGGTTTTTGGCGGATGGGTTCCGGGGCGGCCAGGAACCTGTAGAATGTACAGTAGAGCTACTGTGTTCCAGGACGGGCTGCGCCCGTGTGCACGTGTTGTCATCTTGATGAACAATACCCGCGGAACGTAAACTAGATAACGACTTCCGGGCCACCTTCCGGTGTGCGCTCCCTGTTTGCACGGATTTGTTCTCAACGAAATAACCTGGAGAACGCTCGGCGAGTTCCATCCCGGAGACCTTTAGCCACAATGCAATCTGTCGGGGCGTTTTAAGTTTTTTGCGCGTCCGATGTTAATTATATATTGAGGTTAGGTTCTTGGAGCGGTAAGCCCGGAAAAAATAACACAGAGAGCTCACAAAACCATGTCAGGACACGTTGTGGCAGACGCAATTGTCCGGACAGTCACCCGGCCGTCACTGTCCCACTGCATCTGCTCCAAGTTCAGTAATGTTTGTTTTTGAGAAGTTGCTTGTGCAAAAACTGCTGCACACCACGTCCAGCACTCGTGGTGCGAATGCCGGGGTTTTCCAGCCGCTGTCATAAAGGTTGCCGCGCACCTACAACAGGACACGAATCACAAAAACAAAAGCTTGAAAGTCTCCGCTTCCGGACCGTTTTCTTGGTGTGGCCTCCTTGTTCACGCCCAGAAGCTGTTCTCTCTCGTTTGCACAGATTTGTTAGTGATGAACACGTGATGAAATACCCGTGAGCCCCAAAGTAGCCAACGGTTTTTGGCGGCTGGGTTGCAGGGCGGCTGATCTTTCCAGCTTACTTACTCATCCAGGAACCTGTGCAGTAGAGATACTGCGTTCCAGGACGGGCTGCGCGCATATGCTTGCGTTGTCCTATATATATATTCGCGGGGTGTAAACTAGATAATGGCTTACGGGCTACCTTTCGCGGGTGGGCTTGACGGAAGGAGGGTGAGAGAGGAGGAGAGAGATCGGGGGAGAGACAGAAACAAAGGGCGGTCAAATTGAAGAGGGCGGGGGTTAAAGAAGAGAGGAAGGGGGGTCCAAACGGGCTTTTCGAGGTTGACAAACAGCTAGCTGTTGGGGGTTGGATAAGAGCTGTACATGAGGTTGAAAAGGTGGGCCAAGCACAGCAAATATCCCGGCCGACTTCAGTCACGGCCCCCCAAAACCCTCTGGTAGTGATGTCCAGACAAGGATTGACAGGAGCCTAAGTTTGCTTGAAGGGACCCGCGAGCAGACGGCTGCCAGACGGGCCGCCCTTGAGGACGTGTGCACAAGTCAAGAAAAAAACGACGGGGTCAAAGAAAAAACCCAGGCCGAACGAGAGGGAAAGAGACGGAGAGCGGAACAAATAAAATAGAGAGAGGGACAGACAGGGACGGAGGGGGACAGCGACGGGTGGAGAAGGAAGGAGAGCCAGGGAGAAATAATCAGGCGAGAGAGAGGAAGAGGAAGAGAGACAGAGAAAGAGAACGAGACAGAGAGAAGAGAACGAAAGTTAGAGAGAAAGTGGCATGGCCACTAGCGAGCGAGAGAGAGAGAGAGAGAGAGAGAGAACAAAAAACAAGAGAGGGATTCGCAAGCCCATGGCTGGGGCTGGTCTGGGCTTGGCGGGCTCGGCTAGGCGCTTGGCCTGGGCCCCTGGCCCCTTAACTTGTGGGCTGGACGAAGGGAGAGGGAGGGGTCAGTTGAGCAGGTGGAAGGATCGAAAAAGAAGGGTAGGGGGTGGAACAAAAGGGATGAGGGTCAGAAAAAAAGTGTCACTGCGCGCCTGCGCATGCAGGGGTCGGAACAGAAGTGGGGGCGGCGGGGTGTCAAACAAAAACAGAGGAGGTCAGAAAAAAAGGATGCGGGTTAAACAAGGCGGGCCCATATACAGTGTAGAATATCGCGAATTCAACTCCCTTAAACCTAGTAGGAATCCTGATGCAGTGTCTACAGTTAGGGGAGCAGTCAGGGTTGCCCGAACCCCAAGCTCATGGCAAGACCCTACATCGAATACCACGAAACCCAAATCTATGGCCCAGTCTCAGAAGAAACCGAAACTTCTGGCACAACCTGCTAGATCCTAGTTACTTCTGCTGTCGGACTCTCTATGCTGCCCAAGGGACTGATAATCATTCTTTTGTTGCGATAGTCCTGCCGCTTGGCGATGGCATATAGGGCACCACCCCGCACTCCGGCGGCAATAGCCTCGAGCTTGGGGGTTTGTGGCCCAGAGCTCAAGGTTTAGAATTCTAGGTTCATGGCATCGAGCAAACTGCTCCAGCTGCGCACTCCGCATCCCCAGCAATTTCATTCCCGATAGACTGAAGAAGAAAGCCTAAACCCTGGGCGTATCTTGTCCAAGCTGCCTCGCAAACTTCCTGCATCTCCTGGGCGTGGCATTCCAGAGATGGCATGCCACTTCATGCCGCTTCGTTTCTTTTTGAGAATATCCTGGGTTTAAAGTGAAAGGCTGTAGACGCACTGATTAGGCTTTAGGGTCTAGGGGGCCCTTGACGGCTTGGGGCTTCGGGTTTCGCAAGGATGGCACCGAAGAAAGCTGCCTATGGAAGAATTTCGAGAGGGGCGCTTCCACTAGAAACCATAAAAGAATCAAGGGAAGATTGTTTCAGACAGGCCGTAGAAACCCTTGTCAGTTTAGGCAGGGATTTGTTGGATGTGAATTAAGCACTGGGGGTGCTGTCAGAGATTTGTATTCAATCCGGTAAGAATAGCCGCGCCAATATCGAGACATCTCGTGGAGCGTAGCCATGAGCCCCCAAACCATCAAAACCCGGAGTAACACAAAGGCATGATCTAGGGATCGTCGGCTCGTCGAAAGTGAACCTCATCTTCAACCTCGATATCTGCATGCCCTCTCGTTCAAGCATGCTTTGGGGTTTAGGGTTTAGGGAAGATTAGGGCTTAGGGATGTGTTTCTAGATCCGAAGCAGATCAACTCGACGTTTGCCCCTGCTATCTGGTTGGTAAGGGGATGCCCTTACTCTGAACCCGAATCCGGGTTGCTCCTGTGCCCATGATAGTCGTCCTAACAGGAATCCAAGCGCAACCCCCCACGATCTATGACCCGGAGACTCTATATCCCTCAGTAACCCTATACTCGCTTTCAACCCTACCCAAACCGTAAACCGGGATTCTGCGGTGCCGCGGCCTTCCACCCTCCACCCTGAGCTCAAATCACTTCATCCTGTGCCGAGTCCCCAGAGCCTGGAATCCTGGACCACAAACTCTAAGCCACGAGCGTCACACGCGAGACCCTCGGAGTGTCTGGAGAAAGGTCTCATGCATCCTCGTTTACGAGGTAGTGCAGTCTTTGGGTTTCATACACTGTCCTCGGCTCTGCTAAAGAGGTGTACACGATTTCAACTGTGTCATGTCACCTCGTCTAAGCCTCAAACCCTAAAGGCCCTGAAGTCTCTCAGCACCTGAACCCCAAATCCCAAGACCTGAGCTTCTGAAAGGCAAAGAGTCGGACTTCACTCCAGCATAGGCCGCAATGGCTCCTGGCACCACAGTTTCGGAGTCGAGTTCAGTAAAGGATTTAGATCTTAGTGGCTTAAAGCTCAGGCTTAGTTTGCAGGGCTTAGGATTCTGTAGGATATTTCAGGGCAGTGACATTGAAAAAACGCTTGAAAGCAACTCTCGCGTTCGACACGACCGCAGGAGCTCCTTACCCCCACCCCCGACCCCGAAGCAGAACCGTAAACCGCAGGCTGAAACCCAATACCGCATGTGTCAGCTCAACTCCTGCCAAAGTCAGAGCACCAGGAATGGCGGCACAAATTCCTCGCGGAGCAATGCCAACTCGAGTAGCTGAGGGTGTTCTGTGTCTCGTTTGATCTGATAATGAAGGAACCTCTCAATCGCCAAAGCAGTAAGCGCAGGAGCAGCAGCAGGAGCAGGAGCAGGAGCAGGAGCAGGAGCAGGAGCAGGAGCAGGAGCAGGAGGAGTAGGAGTAGGAGTAGAAGTAGGAGTAGGAGTAGGAGTAGGAGTAGGAGTAGGTGTAGGTGTAGGTGTAGGTGTAGGAGTAGGAGTAGGAGAAGCAGTAGCAGTATTAGTAGCAGGAGTAGAAGAAGTAGTAGTAGTAGTCGTCGTGGTGGTGGTGCTGGTGGTGGTGGTGGTGTTAGTAGAGTTAGTAGTGTTAGTAGTGATAGTAGTAGTAGTAGTAGTAGTAGTAGTAGTAGTAGTAGCAGTAGCAGTAGCAGAAGCAGTAGAAATAGCAGTAGCCGTAGCAGCTTTAGCAGTAGTAGCAGTAGTAGCAGTAGTAGTAGTAGTAGTAGTAGGAGTAGTAGTAGTAGTAGTAGTAGTAGTGGTGGCAGTCGTAGTAGTAGTAGTAGTAGTAGTAGTAGTAGTAGTGGTAGTAGTGGTAGTAGTAGTAGTAGTTGTTGTTGTTGTTGGCAGCAGCAGTAGTTGTAGTAGTTGTAGT